ATAGATTAAATGGTTGTTAAAATAACCTCTGGGTTCAGCCATAGATTTAGCTTTACAGGATCAGGATTTAGGTTTAGGCTCATTCTATTGTTTAAAAGTGAATCTCTGTGAGTTTTCGTTTACTACTTCCTCTTATTTCGCGCCACTCTGCTTCTCTTTTCTCCCTGCTAAAAAAAAAAAAAAAACTTCCCCATAGCATGACGTTGCTTCACCATGTTTCATTATGTAACTTTATCTGATGGTTTCATCATCCCAGAAGGCCAATGTAATACTTTAGTGGAATATGTAAATATTATGTGACAGACTGTGGAAAGGTTTAAAGGGCAAGCATCCCTTTTCAAGGCAGTGTGTGTTGAGGCTGCAGTGGGTGACGATGCTGATGAGATGCATGTAACCATAATGCCTCCTTTGTCTGCTTCTCATAGAAACAGACAACTGGTGTTTCTCACTGAGGAGGAGAAGGCCAGCCTGGCTCGGGTGAACGCATACAGCTCACAGCCAAGTGACAGCTGCCTGTTGGAGAGACTCTTCTCGTCAGACATCAGTTCTGTGTACAGATTAGGTAATGGAACCACTCGGCCTGTTGGGGGATTTTAACCATTTTTATCACTTACAGTAAGGCCTGAACACACCGGTTGCGTACGATTTTTTTTATCTTAGATGTTAGTTTTTTCCATGTCACACTGACTGCGTAGAGAGGCTCCGACTAGGCAGGGTGGGCAGATCTACGCACAATTTTTTTCACTTTGGTCTCTGTCTTATAGGTCTACACAAATTAAAACAATTTCCCACATTTGGCTTGGACAGATTATGAAATGTTATTAAAAAGAATAAAATCCACACTGCAAAAAATCTAAATCTAGATAAGTCATTATTTCTTAAAATAAGTGCATTTGTTCTTGAATTGAGGAGGTAAAAGAGACATTTTGCCAATGGAACAAGACAATTTACACTTAAAAAAAGAAAACACAATTGAATTGTCTTATTTCAAGTGCATGTTATCTAATTATCTTATTTTAAGAGTAAAATTACTAATTTCACTGGCAAACTATCTCATTTAGCTACTCAAATTAAGGGTGAATACACTCAATTTAAGAAATTTGTACTTATTTCTAGCTCTTTTTTGCAGTGCACCGTGGCATTCTATAAAGCAAAGCTCCATTTAACGAGTCTATTCAGTGGGGGTGTAAATCACATCCATCATGGCGATTCGATTCAGTATCGATTTC